AAAGAAAACAAATAAAAAGAAAAAAAAATATATATATATATAAAATATATATATATATATATATATATATATATATATATATTGAGATCAAAATATGGATTTTTGAGTTTTACTGAAAAACTGGATAAAACACATGGTATTTAAATTTGAAAAAAATTCAAATAAATGAAATAGCCACTGCCATGAATGTCTCCAATGTTAATTTGGAAAAAGAAGGAGAAAAAAAATTAAATATAGGAATATTTAGTTTGAAATGAAATGACACAATAAAGACTTAGAAGCGATTACCATTAGCATTGATGAGGAGAACATGAAACAGCATTGAGAGTCACACTTCTACTAATGAATAATAAAAACATGGGATAATCAAAAAGTAAAAAAAAAACCAAAAAAAAACAGTGGTTCTCATGTTAATACATCTATGGCATTTAGTGAACTGTTGTTTTGTTAGTGTAATGGAAGTCCATGAAATAAGCAATAAATGATTACAACATTAATGTTGAAAACAAGATGGGAGTGGAATTTATATGAAGAAAAATATTGCTGGGTATGGATTAGTGTTGAATCGCTTCAACTTGAGCATCACTGCTCCAAAAAAAAGAATTTTTTTTTAAAAAAGCTGTCTTTTTTCTTTAAAAGGGAAAAAGTGATGAGCCACAAACATAATTGGGCAGGATTCTAGACGTACCAGTTTAGCCTTTATAAAAGTATAGGCAACTTCAACGATGGCTCCAGCTAACCACAAGTTGGGGACCACTGGTTGTAGATTGTTTCATAAACATTGATAAAAGTACATTTTGTTGCCAAGATATGAAAACATCAAAATATTTTTAACAGGTCACCTAAAAAAGATCAAACATTTGTAAGCTTACATTCTTGAGGGGGGGGGAACAATTAGTTTCAGGTGAAAGGTTCATTCACACTGAAGGTGTGTTGCCGCCTCAAGACCTCGGTGGTAAATCCACCTTGAGAATCAACAGATATTTGTTTGACGTTTACCATCTCCACCTGATAAGTGTCCCCCATGTAGGTGGTCACACTCGCTGTACAGGCGCAACTGTGGGAACGATGGCAGATTTTGTTCTGTGTTAATGTTCATCACTTTTTACTTTATGTGCTAGTGCAATGGTCGGCAACCTCCCGCTGCATGCGGCCTCTTAAACAAATAAATTCTGCTTTTTTTCTCTTTTGATTATGATTTTTACCAAAAACGAATGCAGGGAAAAATTAAGTGTAAAATAAATTTTGTAAACTTTGAGAGATTTAAATTTTTAAAAAACAAGACATTGTTCCTCTAAAAAAAAATATTTTCTAGACTTGCCCGCTCCAGTAAAATCCAACTTGAATGTAATACCCAGAAATTTCAATCTTCAAACCACAAAATAGGGCTACTATTGAAAATAATATTAAAATGTTCAAACAGGTTGGATTTTCAAGTCCATTTTCTACCGGTTCCTATTTACTGACCTGTCGTCAGCTGATGATAACGCAGGCGCATTGATAAAAATATGATGGAATTGTTTTTGTATATGGCCAACAGGCGGTGTGATGCAGCACTCAAACAAAACCCCCTGGTATATGGCCAACAGGCGGTAGGATGCAACACTCAAACAAAACCCCCTGGTATATGGCCAACAGGCGGTAGGATGCAACACTCAAACAAAACCCCCTGGTATATGGCCAACAGGCGGTAGGATGCAACACTCAAACAAAACCCCCTGGTATATGGCCAACAG